GCAGGGCTGTAATAAAGCTGTGGACTTCGGCATAGCTCCGGGCAGGGAGGAGGTGCCGGTGGCCCGTCTCTGACCGTGCGTGCCGCCGGCATTGCCTCCGTGGCCCCTTGTCGTTTTTGAGGCTTTACCTGCCACCCTCTCCCGCCCCACGCTCCCCATCTGGGCCGTTCCCACCCTGATCCGGCTCCTGGCCGGGGAAAGGCTGTTATTTACCTTCAAACCTGTTTGGTGGCTTCTCCTGGGAGGGGACGAGCGCAGGGTGGGGATGTGGCGGGACGGAGGCTCGCTGGGCTGGAACAAGGGCTGGGGATGGGAGTGAGGCGCAATCGGGCATCGGGGTGGTCCTGCCTCCCTCCGCGGTGCTGGGGTCCCTGCCGTGGGCTGCTGCCGGACCCTCGCCGTGGAGTCCGTGATAACGCATGGAACAGGAGACATTGCGTGTCACCGCAGGGGCTGCCTGTGGGGCATGTGCGGGGCAGCAGCGAGGTCAGGGCCAAGTCGGCTGCAGTGCAGCCCTGTCACACAACCAGGCGTGCTCCTGCCATGACAGCAGCCGTGGCTGGAGGCAACTGGCCGGGCAATGGCTCTCCTCCGAGTGGGTTTTCACCCTGCACTGACTCCTTTGCCGTGGCCCGTTGGCTGGCGGGGGGGATGCAGGGCAGTTTTCTGCGCTGTGATTTAGAGGAAGAAAAACGATCCAAGTTTGTTTTCCCATTTGAGATTAATTTTATTTCTCCCTCTGCGTGGGATCGTGTTTGAGAGTCAAGCCAGCAGCGCAGATCGGGTCGTGTTTATTTGCTTTGCGGAGATGTTTTCCTGGCTGAAGCAGCAGCCCCCGAGTGAAGCCAAGGGCAGGCTGTAGCCCCTGGGCTGGCAGTGGGGGGCTGCGTGGGCAGAGCCACGGTAAATATTATTGTGCTCTTATCCTGCCTGGAGAGAGCACAGTCCTGCAGCGTGTCCCAGGGCACGGATCCGGTGCAGAGACAACAAGGGTTTGGGGAGCGAGGGTGGCCGGGCTGGTTGCCTTCAGTGGGGCTGTGGCCCTCAGCCTTGCTCGCCAGCCAAAGGTTGGGGTGCAGAGGCAGGGTAGGGTGGCACAGGCGGGTGCCAGGTCCCACCCGGGGCCACGGAGCTGCCCGAGCAGAGGTGATGGGCCCAGGGGAAAGATGGACACGCTCAGGCTCGTAAAAAGGCGTCATCGCTCCCAAAAGGGAGATGCCGGCAGGTCTGCCTGCACCGTCCCACCGGCTGGGGAACTGGCTGGTTGTGCTGCAATGGGAGAGGCCGATTCGGAGGAAGCAGAGGGGCTGGATGCTGGAGCAGAACCTGGGGGCTCTCACGGCCGTGGCAGGGTCCACATCCTGACTGCTCTGTGGGGCTTTTGGGGCTGGGGTTCATGGTGCACCCCATTGGTGTTATCCATCCTTATGGCATCTGCAGGTAACTGCTGCTTTGCCGCTCTCCAGCGCAGGGAGCAGAGCGGTCCCCAAGCCTGGGTGCATGCCTGGATGGTGCTGGCCAATGCCTGGGAGCAGCGTGGTGGGAAGGAGCCCCAAAGTGGTGGGAGAGCATCGACCCCATGGGGCAGGGAGTCTTCTCGCTCTCTCTCGCTGCTCTCTGCGCCGCACTGGCTGCCAGAAGGGAGGCAAGGTCTCCATCCCACCGAGCAGGACACACACACAGAGGCAGGTTCTCCTCCCCTTCCTCCCCTGGGGACCTTGCAGCCCCTTCCCGCCTGCCTGCCAGCTCCCCCCTCATCCCCATTTTTCTCCGGTGAGTCAGTGGTGGTGGAAGGGGCGGGCAGGGAGCTGCGCTGCCTGTTCCCTGCCTCCTGCCGCAGGACCCGCCGCTGTGCAGGGAGAAGGCAAGTCGAGGCAGTGCCGTGCAGGCAGAGATGGATGTTTGCAGCTGTGTCTGGCCAAACCTGCTGCTTGCAGGAGGCACAGGCCTGGCGAGGAGGGGGGACAGGAGCCAGGGTTTTCTCCTCTGGCTCTCCCTGAGTGAAGAGCAGCATCATGGCTAAGCCAGCTCCGGGAGGGAGCTGGGCTGGCACCGTATCCCACTTGCAGCATCGCTGATCCAGTTGCACGGCCCTGGCAGTGTTCCTTTGGGGTCTCAGCTCTAGTCTCTCACTTGTCCAGCCCTTCCCATGCCCACCCTGGTGCCCTCCAGCCCCTTTCTGCCACCATAGCGTGGAGCAGGCAGAGCTGAAGGCAGGGTGCCTGGGGTTCCCTGCCCCTTCCTATCATTTTGCCTTGCTGCAGGGATGCTTTGCTCCCTCTGGACCATCCTGGTAGTGGCAGATAGAAGCTCTGGTTCAGGGAGACCATCCTTGAGAGAGTGCCTGGCCCTGAGAGGCCTCCGGCTTCTTCTCCGGGAGGATCCCGCTGCCACGTGCGGACAAGGCACGTGTGTCAGATCAGCACCACTGAGCCTGGAGGGGACGGGGCGATCCAGGGCATGTCGCAAGGAATGCGCAAGGGACGGGACGCCAGCTCTGACCGGGCGTGTTGCTACCGGCACTGGCTGCAGCTGCGGCGGCTTCCTCAGCCCACCAAGATCTGAAGCCTCTGCCGCAGGATCAGGACTCTCTCCCTCCTGGCTTCCCCCGCTTTTCCTGTCCCCTTTGCAGCAGGTTACGCCATATATTGACAGAGCCGGGGTGAGGCCGTCCAGGCGAGGAGGATGCGGTAGCGAAGGTTGCAAGGAGTGGGAGGAGAAGCAGAGGCTGCTCTTCACGCGTTGCCATGCTTCCCAGCATCAGCCCTTGGCACGAGGCTCTTCCATGGCCAAGCAGCGCTCCTGCCCCGGCTGGGTGGTGGCCGCGGCGCCCTGCCCGGATTATCCTTTGGGTGATTGCAGCCAGGGATGCTGAGCTCCTCCTGCTCCAAGCCGCAGAGGTGTCACACTCAGGAGAGGGACGCGTGTCTCCATCAGCAAGGGATGCTCTCGAGGCTCTTTGGGTCCTCGTGGGTGATGGGCCATGTACAGGGAGGAGGAGCAGGGACAGGCTCTCTGCTGGCACCTGGGAACGTCCTTACAGCCCCAAGGCAGCATCTTCTACGTGTGTTGCCATGGGCAGACCCATGGGGCTGAAGCTTAGCCGTGCCTCGGCCCTGGACCAGCAGCAGAGGGGGAACTGTCCCTCTTTACCCACAGGGGCTCCCAGAGCTCCTGGTACTGTGCAGGGGGGGTCCCAGGTTCAGCCCCATCCATATGGGCAGAGCTGGACGTGCCATCCTGGAGGGCCAGACCCTTCCCTGCAGAGCTGGGAGCAGCGTCACTCTCAGCTGAGTTTGCCCGCCATCGGCCGTGGCCCTCGCTGGGGCTCGTGACAGGCTGCCCGGAGAGGAGAGGACAGCGTTCAGCGCAGCACGTGGCTGCCCGCTTTGTGCATCCTCAGCCCTTTAATTATGTCCTTTTTCCACTTGCGCTGTGAAAACAGCTGGGGAGCGTCTGCCTGCAGCCGCCGGCACCTTCTGGGTGAGCGCGTGGGCAGCGGGGCCGATCCTGCCCATGCTGGAAGCAGGGTGATGGGTTATGCATAGCAGGGGCTGCAGGGCCCCGCTTGTATTTGCTGTTGTGGGCACATAGGAGATGCAGGGGAAGAAACTCTCGCTAAGCTTGGAGCTGCCTGGCCGGAGATGCAGAGGTGCCCATTGCAAGGTCAAACTGTCCCTTGGGCTGCACGTTCCATGCCTGGGATCCGGTGGGACCCTCGCTCTCTGCTGCTCCGTCTGCAGCCCAACCTCTGTCTGGGTGCAATAAACCCTGGGCGCAGCCCGTGGGGAGCTGGCAGGGCAGGGGAAGGAGGGTTTGACATTTCAGCTCCCGGGTGACATGAGGATGGCCTGGCCCGCTGGGTAAATACTGGAAGCTCTTCACCTTTTGGGCCAAAACACCTGGCCATGGGAGGGATGGAGCTCCCTGAGGTGTTGGGCACCCAGGGCTGATGGACAGGGCAAATTCCCTTTCTGCACGGGGCACCGCTGCTGCAGGCAGCCTGCCTGCTGCCTGCCAGACAGCGCGGGGCTCCCTGGCACCCACCGCCCTGGGACCACGCAGCGCCTTGTGCAATGGGGACGGGTGGCTGTCAGCGCCACGGTCTGTGCCAGTGCGTGACCACCCGGCATTTCTGCCCCTGCCTTCACATGCCCCCGTGCAGCTGGAGCTACTGGTTAGACTGGTCCGAGACCTTGTTTTCCCCCAGTGCCGCCGGCTCTCGTGACCGTGACGTAGCTGTGCTGGACGCCCTGCCCCTAAGGACAAGCGCTCTTTGCCCCATGATGGCTCGTGTCCCCCCGCTGCGGGATGAGCCGTGCTGGGAGTGGGGTTCTCCCTGGCGGGGCTGCGGTGGGTGCTGGGTCCCAGGGGGCACTGGGGACAGACAAGGAGGGGGAATGCCAGCACCGTTGGCTGTGCTGTGTCCCAAGGGCTGGTGCTCGCCAGAGGAAAAGCCTCCCAGCTCCTCCCAGTTGGCTGCACGGTTGTGGAAGTGAGCAACTGGTTTGCAGGGATACTGAGCCCAGCGGAGAGCAGGCGAGGAGGGCCCTGGGGGGCTCGCAGGGGTGCAACAAGGGGGGAGTTGGAGAAATCCTGGCCCTGAGCCTGGCAGAATGGATCCCTGCTGGCCGTGCCGTGCGTGGGAGGAGGCGGGAGGGCCGGGGATGAGCGGGGAGGCCAGAGGAGGGGCCCCTGCTCTCCTCCCGTGACCGAGGAGCACGGTGGGTGCAGCTGGGGCTGTTCCCTCCTGCCGCCGTGCAGCCATCCCCGGGGTCAGGATTCTCCCAGCGCGCAGGCAGCTGCACCGGAGCCTCCTTGCCCAGCCGAGCATCCTCCCGCCGCGCGGATGAGGACGGAGAGAGGGAGCTGGGGGCCGCCGGCATCCGCCTTGCCAGCACACGGCTGGGCAAGAGCTGCCCCGGCACAATAGGCAGAGCCTCCGTGGGGGGCAGCGGAGCCCCTGCTCCTGCGGGGACCAGACCCTCTCCCTGGCCACCATGGTGGTTTTCATGGGCAGGAACCTTTCCTCGCTTCTGGCTTTCTTCAAGAAGAAGGGTGAGTGAGCGGGAGGGAGGGAGCAGCGCCTTGTCCTTACACAACCCCTGTCCTCCAGGACCCCCGCCTGCCCGGCACCGGGTGCTTGCCCACCCGCAGTGGGCAGGGGTGGGGGGCTGCCATCCCAGGGGGAGAGCAGGGAAGGTGACCCCGACCCCGTCCACTGGGAAGTTAACGGAATAAATCACTGCGCTCCTCTCGCCGGAAGGCGGCTCTGAGTGTGCCGGGGTGGGGGGGTGTCAGGCGAGAGGCTGCCAAAATTGGGGGACGAAAGGGCTTAGGAAAAGGGGAACATGATGGTTGGGGGGGCTGTGGGTGTCTCGTGTCCCCTTGCAGGGACCCCGCACCGGCACAGGGGTCCCCTGTGCCGCCACCCGCTCTCCCGGCCTGGCCGTACCCCCCAGTGCCCGCTCGCCGTGCCGCGGATGCCGGCGGAGGCAAAGGCCGGCGAGGCGGCATGGCGCGGCAGGGTGGGCCGGCTCCATTGTTCAGGGCCTGCTCCTTTGTGCGGTGGAGCGCGGCCGCCTCGCTGCTTGGCCAGGCTGGCTGGGAGGGGACGGGGGACACGGGGGACACGGGGGACAGGGGATGGGTACGCGGTGCCGGCGATGCTGAGCAGCAGGTGCCCGTGTCCGCAGGATGCTGCCGCCAGCCCTGCCGGTTTCCTTTGCTCGCCCTTCCCTTCCTTAGCCTGAAATTGTTTTTTTTTCCGGGCAGGAAGAGTTTGAGGCTTCGCAGCAGGCAGCGGCGTGCAGGCAGGAGCGGGCAGGGCTGCGCCCACCGTGCTGCGGTGCCCTGGCTGGGCGATGCCAGGTGCAGGACCCAGCAAAAGCCCGGAGCCGGTTGTCGGCACCCCAGGGTGCTGGCGATGGTTTGCAGGGAGGGGGCTGTGCCAGCCCTGGCATGGCAGATAGGGTCTCCAGCATGTGGGGGGCTCGGAGGGGGGATTCGGGTCCTCTGGGGTTTCTGCACCAGGCTGTGCCTCAGTTTCCCTCGTCGGTGCAGTTCCCAGCCTGCCTGAGCACAGGGTGAGTCCCTGCTCTTGGGGTGCTTTGCAAGGCCTGGGGATGATGCAACCCTACAAAGGGAAAGTCATCGTCTTTCTACCCTCGTTTAACCCTCCCCATGCCGCCCCTTCTCTGCTCAGCTGCCCACAGCCCCACGCAACTTGCTGCCTCGTTTGCTCCTAATGAAGGTGCTGGGGAGGAGGGCGGTGCTGTGCCCCAGCTCTGCTCTGGCCGGTGGGTAGAAAACCCTGCAGCTTCACGCTGGAGACAGCCTGACTCCAGTATATCGACCGGCCGGGCAGAGCCTTGGGAGATGATTTCTCGCACGGCATTTCCAGTGCCCGGTTTGGAGATGAGCGGGATAACGTCATCCCGGGCCGGCTGTCATTGCTCGGCGCTTCTCCCAGCTCGCTGCAGCCATGTCCTACGCGTGGGGGTGCATCGGTGGGAACGCGGCTGTGTCCCCCCCAGCCAAGCTGACCCCTCTATCTTCACAGGCGCTACCAAGGGCGAGACTGAGAAGCGGCTGAGCGTGCAGTATACGGCAGGCGAGGAATGCCCCGACAACGTCTTCTTCCCCACCACGCGGCCCCCGCACCTGGAGGAGCTGCACAACCAGGCTCAGCAGGGACTGAAGTCCCTGCAGCACCAGGGTAGGTGTCCCCAGGCCCCGGGGTGGCCCGGGGACGTGGCGGAGGGTGCAGCCGGCCGGCCCCAGCTCCTGGCTGGCCGGGCTGCGTGGGCGGCGCGATGGGGCTGACCGGAGTCCAGTGCCCCGGGACTGGTGGTGGTGGCTGGGGTGTACGGGCAGCATTGCCGGATTCAGCGGCCGTTTGGCTGGCTGGTGGCTCCCTCGGCTCCTCTGGAGGGATTTACCCCCTGCCTTCCCTCCGCAGAGAAGCAGAAGCAGACCAAAAGTGCCTGGGACCACGGGGACACCAGCAGCCTCCAGGTGAGCCCTGCCGAGGAGCTGGCTCTGCCCCGCAGTGCTCTCGGGGTGCCCTGGGGGTGAGGGGACACAAGTTGGCCCCTCTTTCCCCCTCCCCAGGTGGTGTTTGGGGGCTGGAGGCAGATGGGAAACCAGCTGAGACTGCAGGACCATGGCCGGGGGGGGTTGTGGAATGGAGTCATGCGTCCCTCAGCATTATCCCCTTTGCCCCATGATGAGCTGCTGTCCCCATCCCCGTCCTCAGCCTCAGCACGTCCTGCCCTGCCTTGTGGGGCTCTGCCCGGGGACCCCCACCGTGCCTGTGTCCCTCCGTCCCCCCCACCCCACTTCACTGGTGTCCCCTGGCAGCCCCAAGTGAGGTGGGACGATGGGGCGGCATGACGGGGACCGTTGGCCGTATCCAGCCCCGTGGCCGGGCCCCTCCCTGGCTGCTGACGAGGAGAAACTCCCACTCTCTTGGCCGAGCTAGGCTTCGCCGCTTCCCAGGGCTCTGACCCCGCTGCCAGTGCCTCACCCGCCCGTGTTTGCTCAAGCTGCTGGCTCTTGGCCCCCTTAACCCCTTGGAAGCGGGGGGCCAGGAGCCCCTGAGCAAGCAAGAGCGGTCGGGTGTTGGTTCACGCTGATGTGTCTCATCCTGACCTCTGTCTGTGCCAAGAGATGCTTTGGAGGGATGAAGGGGGCACTGAAAGCTGTACCTGTCACAGGGCTGTCCCTGCGTGTGCTGCGGGTCCCTGGCACGGCCACGTCGCTGCCTGCCTGTCCCCGTGCCCCCCCATCCCTCAGCCCCACGCCCCTCTCCCACCCGTGGCAGCCCTCCAGCCCCGGGGTTCTGGGGCACAGCGGGGCTGGACGCAGCCATGGGGCCATTTTCAGCTTGGCATGGCGGCGAGGCCGGCGGTTCCATCGGGTGCCCCTCTGGGTAGGCTGCACCCCAGCTCGCTTGCTCTCCAGGGGGCTGCGAAGCCACGCGGGGTCCCTGGGGCTGCTCTCGGCCCCGCTCCTGGTGGGAGGACTCTGGATGCCGGCGTGGCTGACTCAGCCTTTGGCCCTCGGAGAAGCTTTTGTCTCGGCAGCGCTGGGCTGAGGAGTCAGTTTGCGGTGGAGAAGGGGCCTGGCGGGGGCCGGGGCAGCTCCGTCCCCCCAGCCCGGGGTCCGCCTGAGCCCGCTCTCTGCCCGTACAGTCCTGCGCATCCTCGGAGGATGACAGCGTGTCCTTCCGGAGCCAGACGGCCTCCTGTGCCACTGACAGCACCTCTGAGGACGCCCTCTCCATCCGCTCCGAGATGATCCAGCGGAAAGGTATCCAGCTGGGGGGCTGCGGGGCCAGGGGACGCAAGCTGAAGGGGTGTGAGGGGGGGCCGGGGCGCATGGCAGGAAAGCTGGGCTCTGCGTTGGCGTGGCCATGAGCCAGTGCAGGGATTTGGGGGCCCTTAGAGAGAAGAGAGGAACTCTGGCTGAGTCAGAGCATTGGAGCTGGGCGGGGGGGACAGACGGACAGACAGACACTGTCTCCTCCCTGCTCAGACTGCGCGGCTGTTTGGCAGCTGGTAATACCTCTCCGGGCTGTGCTGAAAGCCTGAGCCCTCAGCTCAGCCTGCTCCGGCTTGTCCTGGAGCATCTCCGGCAGTGGGGGGGTGATGGGGATGCCAGGGACACCCTGGCCAGGGTCCCCCTCGTGCCAACTGGACCCACTCATGCCTCTCGCAGGTTCCACCTTCCGACCGCATGACTCCTTTCCCAAATCCTCAGAGAGGGCTGGCAAGAAGAGGAAAGAAAGGAGGACGACAGTGCTGGGCATCCCCCAGCATGTCCAGAAGGAGCTGGGTAAGCATCGGGGGCAAGGGGGGATTTTTAGGGTCTGGTCTCGTTGGCCAGGCTCTGTTTGCCTTGGCTCGGTGCGTCTGCCTTAGCATCACACCGGGCTCGTCTCTCCCGGCTCCCAGGTCTCAGGAACAGCCGGGAAGCCAAGGGACACCCCGAGGCTGATGGACGAGGGCAGGCAAGGCACGGGGGCAGCCAGCTGCCACAGCCCTTGCTGAACGGCGGGCAGGTCTCCGGCGACGCCATCCGCATCCCCACCATCGACGGGAAGCTGCAGCCACTGGCTCTCTCCGGGGGTGCCCATGTTCGCCTGGGAGCCTTGGAGGAGGCAGACACGGCCCTGCAGAAGCACATCGACCGGGTTTACTATGACGACACATTGCTGGGGAGGAAGACGGCGGCCAAGCTGTCACCCATGGTGAGGCCAAAGTCACTGGCCGTGCCGGGCATGACCACCAACGCCACCCCCCCGGAGCTGCTGAGCCCCGTCATGTCCATCTCGCCCCAGGGCACCTACATGTCTAAGATCATTCCCAACGCCATCCTGCCGCCCATGGTGGACGTGGTGGCCCTGACGCGGAGCAGCGTGCGGACGCTGAGCCGCTGCAGCCTGGTGTCGTCCAGCCCGGCCTCGGTGCGCTCCCTTGCCCGCTTCTCAGAGTGCAGCACCCGCAGCCGCGAGCCCTCCTCCTCCAGCGACAATTGGAGCCACTCACAGTCCACGGAGACTATCGTCTCCAACAGCTCCACCATCTCCTCCCAGGGTGGCTCTGACCGCCGGCAGCCCGAGGCAGGACCGTGCGGCGAGGCGGATGCTGTGGCTCGCTCTGACACCGACCAAGTCAGCATCTACAGCTCCGCCAGCTTTGCCAGCTCCTGCTCCAAGCCTGCCGCCGGCCCCGGACCTGTAGCCCCCGGGCTTCTGGTCGTGGGGGGCAGCAGTGGCCGGGCATCCCCCGCCTACAGCATGAGCAGCCAGGCGGAGGGCTCGGACACAGGCAGCCTGGCCAGCGAGCGCTCCTCCGCCCGCAGCGTCTCCCTCAGGAAAATGAAGAAGCCCCCGGCTCCCCCTCGCAGGACCTACTCGCTGCACCAGAAGGCCGAGGGGGAGCCCAAAGTGCTGGGGCTGCCCCCCAAGCCCGACCGGCGGTCCCAGCGGGAGAGCAGCACGCCCTGGTCCCCACGCCCCGAGCCCTTCAGCCCCACGGCTGAGGATGAGGTCTTCTCCCCGTCGTCGCTGAGCGAGACCAGCAGCCTCCGCTCCGAGAGCCTGGCCGGCGCCAGCTCCCCTGAGGCCTTGCGGAGCAGCCCTGGGGTGACAGTGGTGCTGAGGGAGCCCCAGGCTCAGCCCAAGTGGAGCTGCCCGGATGGGTCTGACCGCACCATGTCCCCTTCCAGTGGCTACTCCAGCCAGAGCGGGACACCCACGCTGCCCGCCAAGGGGCTGGGACCCCCATCTGTATCCCCGGGCAGGGCTCAGCCCCAGAAGCCGGACCGGGTCTGCTCCCTGCAGTCGCCTGCGCTGTCTGTGTCCTCCTCCCTCACCTCCATCTCCTCCTCGGCCTCGGACCCAGCCCCCCCAGAGACGCTGCCCTGCCGCTCGGACCGGTTCATCATCCCACCGCACCCCAAGGTGCCCGCTCCCTTCTCCCCGCCACCCACCAAGCCCCAGCAGCCCACAGCCCCCGCCGGCCCCCTCGTCCCCTCGCCAGACCCACCAGTGCCCAGCACTGCCTGCCAGGAGCCCTTGGCCAAGCCCAGCGGCAAGTCTCCACCGCCATCGCCGCCGCCTGCCTACCACCCGCCTCCTCCACCGGCCAAAAAGGTGGAGGGGACCCCCCAGGCCGCCAGCGAGACCCCCGCCGACACCGCCTGGCCCCCACCACCCCCGCCAGCTCCCGAGGAGCACGACCTATCCATGGCGGACTTCCCCCCTCCGGATGAAGCCTATTTCTCCAGCCTGCCTGATGCCGCGCCGGCTCCGGTGGCCGGGCAGAAAGCGGCACCGAGCCCGGGGACTGCGTCGTCTTCGTTCTCGGCCGCCGTCTCCTCGCGCAGCCAGCAGCAAGGCCCTCCGGCTGGGGCACCGCAGCCGCCTTCCCCCGCCGCGCCCCCTCCCCAGGGCACCGTGCCCCCGCCACCGCCGCCACCTCTCCCCCCACCCTCGGCTCCGGCTCTGCCACCCCAAATCAGCCTTAAGAAGGCGGCCAACGGCCCCCGGGCAGACGCCAAGAAGGAGCCGGTGTTGCGGAACAAGAGCGGTCCCGTGCCCAAGGAGGATGCCAGCCTGCCCATCGTCACGCCCTCGCTGCTGCAGATGGTACGGCTGCGCTCCGTGAGCGTGGAGCCGCCCGCCACGGCCGGTACCGGTGCCGAGGAGCGGCCGGCACCCCAGAAGCCTGTCCGCCGGTCCCTGTCCACACGGCAGCCCCCTCCTGCCAAAGACGCGGTGCCTTCAAACCAGCTCCACCATGCTGTGCACCTCAAGGCTGCCGCCTTGTCCTCTGGTGAGGCTGCGGAGAAGCCACCGGGCAGCAGAGCGGCTCTGCCCGGCTCCGAGGGGCCCCCCGGGGACGGCCAGCTCTCCCCCAGGAACAAGTCACCGGCCTCCACCGCCAGCTTCATCTTCGCCAAGAGCTCTAGGAAGCTGGTGATCGAGACGGCCTCGTGCCCCGAGGCACAGGCTGACCTGAAGAAGAACTTGGTGGCCGAGCTGATGAATTTCTCGGGGCAACGCTCGGCAGCCCCGGCTGCTGCCCAGCAGGGCCCCGGCAAGGCACAAGCCCACCGAAAACCTGGCAAGATCCCCCCTCCGGTAGCCAAGAAGCCTTCGCTTGGCCCGGGGCCGGCTCCTTCCCCCCTGAACCCAAAGGCACCGGCGGCAGAGGCACTGGGCTCCCCCGTGCCAGATGGGAAAGCCAAGGCAGTGCCAGCGGACGAGAGCAGGACTAAGAGTGAGCCGGCAGGAATGGCGGCCCCGGGGATGGAGGACAGGAGCGCCGCAGAGCCGCTGGCTCAGACCCTCCCTGCACAAGGTACGCGGGATGGGGGCCCGGTTCAGCCCCACCATGGGATGGTGCCGCTGTAGGTGCTCGGGCTCCTGAGCTGTAGGCTCCCAGCGTGGCTCGTGGGCCATGTTGGGGCTGGGGTGGCAACAGGATGGCCGGGAGAGCCCGGCCATGGGGCCAGACCTGGGGCAGGGCCATGGGAAACTGGGACTTCGGGTGGCTGATGGGCTTTTCCCTCCTGCCTTGCAGATGGACGGGGAGAGACGGCCTGAAGGATGAAGCTGCAGGACTGGTGCCCCCATGGACAGGAATCCAAATCTCTCAGGGACCTGGGCAGGTCAACAGACGAGTGTGGAACTGGCAATTAACTTAATACAGGAAGCAAACAGCCTTAGCCTCCACGGCCTTGATGATATTTATGCAAAAATGGTGTTGGTTTCACTTTCCTAAGTACTACAGCTTTATTTTGCTTTTTTTTTTTTTAACTGGACTCGAGGCCTGTGCCGAGCCAGCACCTCCTCCCTGCCGGGCTGCCGCTTGGTTTGCGCGTGCGGAGCAGAGCAGCCACGCTGAGAGGAGTGCAGGGGCCGAAGACACTGGAGCTGGAGCCATTCTGCTCCCGGCCAGCCGGGTCCACAAGGAATCGAAGCACTTTGGACAAGGGAAGGGGAAGGCTTCGGCCACGGCAGTGCCTGGGGGGATGCGGGCAGGAGCAGCAGGACAGGATGGAGGCTGGGAGGGACCAGGGCCTCGGCCCTCGATGGAAAGGCAAGAGGGGGCTCTTGGCCAGCACCGATCTCTGCCTGCAGCAGTGCCGTCTCTGGGCACTCGCTGGCTGCCCGGCACAGCCAGCCTGCAGCTGTGCTGGCCCCAGGGTGGAGGGGGAGCCCAGCTGCCCCGCAAGCTGGTCTTCAGGCCCTGGGGTAGAACCTTGATTTCTGTTTCTGTAAACTTGGGTCACATTTTGATTTCTTCGATTGTAAAAAAACCCAACCAAACCAAACCAAACCAAAAGCAACCACCAACCCTCTGCCGCCGAGTAGCCGCTCAGAGCTCTGTACCTGGCTGGTAAAAATGATGACCGAAGCTTGCTGCCTCCTGTGCTTCCTGGCTTACGGCCACGGTCTTGCCACACGTGGCAGCTGCCCTTCCTGGCAATGTCGAGCTCTGGGGCAGGCACTGACCCCCAGCAGGCTGGCTCCCACCACTGCTGCCTGCACAGGGAGGGCAGAGGGCTCGGGCAGCACCAAAACACAGGAGCAGGGCTGGCTGCCAGCTCAGCCGCCTCCCCCCTGGAGAGACAGGCACACCCGGGTGCGGTCAGCTTGACATTTTATTTGGGTTTACGACAGATGATGGTTCCCGAGTCAGTATTTAAGGCCCACGCCCCCCATGGCCTCCCACGGGCTTACGACGGAGCCAGGAGTGTTGCCTGGGCTCTTGGTCAAAGAGCAGCACCAGCAGCAGCCGCCACAGCCCTGGGCAGGCTGGGCACGGAGCAGGGGGTGTCCAGGCCAAGCAGGGGACAGGGCCTGCCTGCCAGGCAGCTGCCCCCAGCTCTGTTAGCAGCAACAGTTTTGAGCAAGCAGCCCTCACTGCAGCACCCACACACGCCATCCCAATCGGGTCCAGCGGGCAGGGCGTCCAGTCCATGGCACAACTGGGAGCGAGCCGATGGCCCCAGCGGAAAGTCTGAGGCCGCGGGCACAAGTCACACAGATCCCTTAGGTGTGGTGCCACCACCAGTCCCCAGAGCTGGCCCACAGCCGAGGCACAGATGCTGGCTGAGCAGGCCCAGGGCGAGGGGGATGTCAGAGGCAGCTCTCCAGGTGGGAGGCTGCAAATTCAGTCCCAGAGCTCCCGGAGCCCACAGGGCTGAGCCCCCGGCTCGGGGCGCTGGGGAGGAGATGGCAGAGACCGGGGAGGAGAGCCTGGCTGAGGTGGTGGAGGGGGCCAGGCAGGAGGCGCGAGGAGCAGCTCTGGTGCTTGTTAGCTGATGCTCCCTCCCTTCAGGCTTTTACAGGAGACTCTCCCCAGCTTGGTCAGGAAGTTTCTTTGCTTCCACTGGGCAACACAGTCCTCAGAGACGCGGAAGTCGGCCTGGGGAGCAGAGCAGGGGAGGCAGGGTCAGGGCCGGGCTGCCAGTAGGAGAGCGGCGCCTTGTTTAGCCAGCGAGGAGGTTCATCTCCTCCACGGCTTCGTTGACAGTAGCAAACATGGGCACTAAGCAGCTAATTTGGGGTCACCCAGAGGTGCGGACAGTGGCATCTACGTGGCCCTAAGCACTGCCCCACTCGACACCTGGAGTCCCAGCTACTCCGAGCTGTGGCCCAGCCCCCCCCGGCGCAGCTGCTCACCTGCAGCTTCTCAAAGACCTTCTTCTTTGGCTTGAGCTCGTCATCAGGCTCCCCGCCCTCGTAGCCCTCCACGTAGACGCGCTCCCCGGCACAGCACCCGGCTGGCGGGTCCAGGGGCTCCACCTGCCGTGGTTCCCCCACGCTGTGGAGGGAAGTGGAGAGAGGAGAGTCACCCCAAGGCAGTACCCACCCACCCCTCAGCACTGCCGGGCTTTAGGGCAGGAGAGGGGGGTCTGGACTGCACCCCTGGAGGGGTACACGGCCCTGATGCCCCCCTCCCTCACCTGGAGGCACACAGCACCATGCCCTGCGACTCCACACCCCTCATCTTCTGGGGCTTGAGGTTGCAAAGCAGCACCACCAGCCTGTCCTGCAGCTGCTCCTTGGGGACAAACTGCACCAGGCCACTGACCACAGTGCGGGGCTCAGGCTCGCCCACATCGATCTTCTCCACGTACAGGCTGTCAGCATCTGGGTGCTGCCAAGCAGAAGGAAGGTGAGGAGCAGAGAAGGGAACTGGGGTGGCAAAGAAGAAGGATGCAGACAACCCCCCCACACACACTGAGTGCCCGTGTCACTATATGGGAAGGTTACTCCCCTCTCCCTGTAGTGCCTGTACCTTTTCCACACTGATCACTTTGCCAACACGGATATCCAGCCGGGATGGGACCACATTCTCTGGCTCTGAGTTCTTGGTACCCTTCTCTGCAGGCTCTGCAGTGCAAAGGGAACAGTTGTGCCACTCAGCATAAACCCAGGGGGCTGGCCAAGCCCTGGGGAGCACACAGTGACCCCCAGATGCTGTCTCTGGGGCCTGCTGAATTCCCTGCTTGTCTCTATACCAGAAAGCACAGTCCCTCCTCTGCTTTGCTGGCCTCTCAAGCACCAGAGAAGGATGCTGGCATCTCTCTTCTCCAGAGCAGGCAAACAGCCCTGACGTTGGCCTTTCCTCACCCTTCCTAATGCTCTCCAGGGCCGCTCCTGAGACTGAAATGTCAGAACTTCTCACTAACCTCAGCCCCTGAGGGACTCCCTCCCACCCAGCCAGGCGTGGCCACAGCCCCACTTCCCTGAGCTCCCAGCACCTCCTTACTGGCTTTGGACGGGTTGGGATATGCTGCGTTGGTCAGCTTCTTCAGTTCCGGGCTGTTGAATTTCTCTCTGATGGGGTCAAGCAGTTTGTTCAGGGCCACTTCCACTGAGTTCTTCAGGTCTCCGGGATGCACAACCTGTATCATGACAAACAGACGGGTTCCTGCATGGTTCCCTCCCAGGCAGGGGGAGCAGAATTTGAGTCACTGATCTGAAGCCAGAGAGGTAGGAACTGGAGACCAAACAGGGTGGGGAGATGAACCCCAACCCTTGGCCTGATTTCCCCCCTCAGTCATTGGAGCCCCTCTTCTGGACACTTTTGCTTGCAGCCTCAGCTGGGAACAGCTGAAAACAGTTAAACTGCTGCTCTGTTCCAGGATGTGGCTGACATGGTCGTGCCCTGCTCCAGGACAGCTGGTGCCCCCACATCCTTCACACATTCTCTCACCTTAGGGCTCTCCTGGCTGCGAGCACCCTACCACCCTACAGCCACTGGGCCACGCTCTGCTCCACACCTCTTCCCCGTGTGGATTTCCATCTCCCACTGCTGCTCAGAGCCCTCCCAGAGAACTCTTGGGAGCCTCAGGGACAGAGAGAGGGTTCAGCCCCTCCCGGCACTCACCTGCTCAGCAAAGTCTTTCTCCAGGGCCTCATAGGCTGTGTAGGTTTTGTTTCCTCCCCATTTTTCTTCTCGCAGAATCACAAACTCTGTGACACACAGATTTTAAGCCTCAGATTAACCCAAGTGGAGACTTGCCCCCACCCCACTTTGCCCAAGAGCTGAGGGGACCGCAGCAGGAGCTGGGGAGGAGGCACTGAGGGGCAGCCTGCTTCAGGGGACACACACTCCCGTCCCCTCCTCTTACCCACAGGAAAAACTAGACCCAGCACCCAAGCGTGGTGAGCCCCTCACCTGACTTGAGGGGAAAGAGGACGTGCTTGATGAAGGAGAGGACACCGTTATTCTCTATGTTCCCGGGCTCACAGAAAGCCTTCTTCAACTTCTTCTTCACATCCTCCTTGCGGTCCAGAAGGTCAATCTTTGAGTCCTGCAGGAAGAGATTTCCGCAGCCCTTTACTCAACCTCTTGCCCAAAAGAGACAACTCAATGCTGGAGTTGCTGCAGCTTCTTAGACGCCAGTGTGAGCAGAGAGAAGTCACCTTCCCTTGGGGTGCAGCCCCTCCACCTCCAGCCATTAACCCATCCCCCCGCAGAACCCCTGACTACAGCCACCATTCAGGGACCAACCTCTTCTGATGAGCTCATTTTGCTGCCTGTCAGACCAGGAACCATCGGGTTCATCAAATGGATGCGCTTGGCATAGCCCAGGGAGGGAAGGTACTGGGAAAAAGCAAGGAGGCAAGACATGGACAATCCTCTTCTGCAGATCAGCTTTAACTCACAATCCCTGTTTGCTCCTGGCTCCAGATAACTTGGGGACCCAGAATAACAGGACCCAGAAAGCTATCACAGGTTCACAAGGAGCTGACAGCCACAGCCAGGGACGTGTGACTATTTCGCACACCAGAGCCCCACAGACCACGAGAGCAGCAGCAGAAGCTGCGAAGAGCACTGTGGTGCCAACCGAAGTCACAGACACGCTTCTCCCAATGGATTAGCAAGTATGCGAGCCCTGAGCCAGACACCAGCATCGCAGGGAACTCACAAACTCCATTCCTCACCTTCTCTGCGAAGGTGAATATCTTCCTCTGATCAACTCCACCAAACTGTGCGTCGACCTTGAGGTACTCCTCATCCAGGGCCTGTGGAGAGACACACACAGCCTTGAGACTAGACCCAAGACTCCACACTCCAGCTGTGC